ACTAGTATTTCCCACTGTATTAAAAAGGTAAACATCTGATCAAATGACTACATTTTTTTTACATTTTAGAAAAGACGATGCAGCATTTCAACACGGAGACATTATGAATAGAGTTGTCGTAGCTGAGCAGATTGTTGGCCGTATACAGGAAATTAAAGTGAAATATGTAAAGTATAAAGGAAGCTGGCTTGGTATTGGCGCTGGCAGAAAAAATCTTAACCTGTTCCAAATAAATATCCATTCTGGTGAAAGTGGCAAAAGGTATTCAATTATAATTATTAAACAAATTTAAAGCAAAATATATTGTACTATCTTTCCATAATTTGTATCAATGTTATATGCCAAAATGTCAAAATGTATCCAGCCTTTTAAAAAAATGTTTTGGTTTTCCTCCCTGCCATTTCTTTTACCTGTTTTAACAAACAATGATTTCCAGATTTTCTGTTTTTACAATTTTAGTAAGTTCGTCTATAGTTGTTTTGAATAATAAAATCCTCATTGAAAACATCCTCATATACTCATAGTCAGTCGATTCAATACAATATAGTTAACTTTATCTTTCAAAACATCAATAAACAAACTTTTGCCAGTAACAATAAATGTACAAAAGTCACCATTTGTTTCATGTTGCTCTTTCGTAATAAATTTATCCAAAGATTTCTTAAAAGAAATACCTGATATGAAAATTTATTAAAATTATTCAGACAATTCATTTGACAATACAGTGTTACTTTCTAACAACCATGTGTCTAGATGTATAACGCCATAATGCAAAAAGATCTAAGATAATCAAGAAAAAATTGTCTTTATTATTTCAGGTATGTGTTTTGTCTAACGGCCCCATTGCTGACGGACAAACAAGTTACATTGACAACATCTACTCTAGATACATGTCCAGATAAATTATAAAATAAAACGAAAGGAATGATAACCTGTTTTATTTTAAATATTTTTTTTATTAATTTACATTATACTTACTTATTTACTGCGCGCTTAATATTCTGCGATTTTTTAGGTATCGAATTTCTCTATAGAATATTGAGGGGGCATTTTTAAAATACATTTAACTACGAAAGACGGATGTGGACATTTCAAATGCATGGGTTCTCCATGTCCAACATCATAAGTTCTCCAATTTACTCTTCATGAATTATCATTTTCAACTCCAAGAATTGTTGTCTTTCGTACATAATCAATTGTCAATTTTGAGCATTTACGTACATAATCAATTGTCAATTTTATTAGCATTCTAATTAAATACATTTAACTACATAAGATGGATGTGGACATGACGCACATAATGATTTCATTTCTTAAACTTGTATTGGGCCACAAGAAGGCTCTTTGCTGAAATGTTTTACATTTTGTACTTTTTACAATATTATTTTTGAGAAAAAAAAATACATGTACTTTATTGATTAGCTACATAGAACTTCTGTATGTGGGAATATATTATGTAATCATTGAAAAACTATATACAGAAATCACAAAATGCCAATGAAAGTGGGTATTCATGACGGAAAAGTTATTTTTCATTTGAAATTCGGGTTAAAAGTGTCTAAAACCAATTTTTCTATAAAAATGACATTTTTCTGTATATAATTTATAAAACATTATTGATTCGTAAAATTTGTAGGTTAATGATCAGAAAACAAACAATATATGGTTGGCTGAAATGCTTTCACTGTTAGGAGAAATATATTCTTAATCACATTTTGCAAGTAACTGATAAAATCTGGTTGTACATAGTCTGTTATTATAGTATGCCAAACACATTTACCACATGACAACTAAAGTGGTAGCTAGCAAACATTCTTCAAATCTTGTGTTATCTTTAATTTTTTTCTGGTGCTACATATCATCGTTTCATATTTCCAAATCATTTTTTTTTTAAGTTATAGTCACGTATTGATAAATTTGAAATAAGCGAATGATCTTAAATTATTTTCTAAAGATCGAAGACTAGTATAAGCTGAAATTATATAAAAACTGGAAAAGGTAGTTAGTTAAATCAGCAAAAAGGAGTGAAAACTGCCTTTCAAATCCCCAATTCTTGTGATATAACTTGAACCACTCAATATAAGTTTAAATCACTTGAGGAAAAGAATCTATTATAATATAATCCATGCCATTGCGAAATGATGTTGACATTTCATAGTTTACATACCCACGCATTCAGATAAAGTACATAGTTCTGTCTACTTTAATAACACGATCAACAGACGTCCTTGTAATAGATCGAGGGCGTTATTAGATTGATCAGTGAAGACTGACCATGGATATAATAGGATCCAAATTCCGAAAACGCTTATATTGTCATTGAAGGAGTTAAGTATGCACTTTGTATGATGGGAATACCAATCATTTCATTACGCAATGTCAATCCCTTGTTAATTCAGTGCATTCATTTACATCATATTTGATATCAGTAATTAATAGATAAGTTAAAACTTTAAAAAGTAAGACTTTCTCTAGATTCCAGAAGAGGAGAATTTTTTTTACATTTAACATGTTTAAGGTCACATGGGGGCTTTCAAGATTTACCGTTGAAAGAAGACCAGCCAAGAGTTCTCTATGCATTATTTTAGGCATGAGCGGGCACCCGAATAGAATCACCAACTGTCCGTGAGGTATAGTTAGATAGATTTCTCAGATGAAAGGTTTTTGTATTGAATTAGTATAATCTAGCTGTCTTCCCGGGTATGATAAATGTGTCAACGCATCAAACCACTTATCGTGTTTTTTTTAAAAATAATTTGTCTAAAAAGTTGTTTGTATTTTATTGGTATATACAAGTATTTGTCTATAAAAAAAGTTTTTAAATTTTAGTGGGGTATGCAAATATGGAATGTTTGATCGTGAAGAATATTACACAATCTGACAATGTCAGACTGTCTCAATTAACCTATTATTTTCTTCATATTACGCACTTGTAAATGAATGAAAATGTAAAAAATCAAAAAAATGGTATTGAATAAAAAATATATTAAAAAGTCCATATTTTATCTCATTATAGCCATTGAAATTAATTATCCAATAGTATAAATGAACGCCTGTCACCTGAAGTTGTTGATGATAATAATAGAAAATTTAAAACGTTTGAAAAATTGGATTTTAAATTAATAAACTTAATGTAGATTGAACAAATAAATTTTCAATTTTAATCTTCACTTCAAGTGTTTAATTTTACTGAAATATTTACATTTGGTTGATCGTGGTAAGACACCGAGATGTTCAGTTTATACGACGTATATAAAGATTAGCTAATTTAACATCGTAAGTCAAGAGAGATTTTGATGTTATAAAATTTCAATGTTTGCTCAACACTCAACGGGGAAATAATTTAGTATTAGCACCCATATGAATCCGAGATTGAATGTATGTAAAGGGCACAAATGGATTTGAATTCATAATACCATAAACACCGATAATATTGTTTTATCAACGGGATCAAGTTATTGTGCCATTAATTGAAAAGTTCTGGTTTGTTTACTTAGATTTAATTACCATAGCCTATTTAAAAAACTGTCAATGTTTACTTAGACAAATACAGGAAATCGGTCTGTCAATCGATCAGTAGTCAAGGGGACGTCTCATCAGAATCAAAAGATCAACTCCTTTGTGTATTTTTTTTTTTTTTTTTTTGGGGGGGGGGGGTGTTTGTAACCAACTGAATATTCACAACTATTTATATTTCGATTTATTCGTGAACATTAGCAAACACGAAATAATCAGCGGGATTTCTGGTAATTTATGATTGTGAAAAAAATCTTTACATTCCTTATTTTGTTAGCTTAACACATGATATTCTTTTCATATTTTTCATTGTCAAAAATTTGTTTGATCTTCTTAAAATATGTGTGCTATTATATGACATGTTATAGTTACATGTACACTTTTGCTTAGGGAGTTGGCGATGTTGTTAAAGCTGCACGCCTTTAAGATTTTAGGAAAGGTATAAAGATTCAAAATTCTAGTAAAAATTTACATGTAATGTGCGATTAATGACCGATTTTTTTCAGTATCTATAACTACACTTCTACTGCGTTACTAATGCAGTAATGGCTATTTTTGCATATTTTGACATCTTTATAGTGATGCTTTGATAATGTGTAAATTGCATTCTTTTGGTAACTTTACAATATTATACTGTTAAATACATTTTCAAATTTTCATGAAAATTAGTATGAATCTGGAGGTGTGCTGCTTTAAGGTGAGCGCTTATCAACCAGGGGATTGTGGGTTCTAGCCCTACTTGTGATCGTGGTTAGTTATTTCCTCATTTGACGCCAGTACTGATTAGTGCCAGGAAGCGGACTCACAAATTGTTCCAGTAAGCTTAAAGCTTGAAAATTATCACAATCAAATTTAAATCATATACGTTTAAACAAGTAAGCTTCAAGCTTGAAAATAATCACAATCAAGCTTAAATCAAATACGTTTAAACAAGTAAGTTTTAAGCTTGAAAATCATCACAATCTAGCTAAATCAAATGCGTTGAAACAAGTAAGTTTTAAGCTTGAAAATCATCACAATCAAGCTTAAATCAAATACGTTTAAATAATTAAGCTTCAAGCATGAAAATTATCAAAATCGAGCTAAATCAAATACGTTTAAACAATTAAGCTTCAAGCTTGAAAATCATCACAATTAAGCTTAAATCAAATACGTTTAAACTAGCAAGCTTCAAGCTTGAAAATCATCACAAATATGTTTTAACACTTTCTTTCATAATTTTTAAATCACAACATTGTTTTGCTTACGTCGACGTCATTCCTCTCAAAAAAAATCATTCTACTCAATATTTCTTTCGACAAAAATTCCGTGATTAATCGAAAATTTCGAATATCTGAATTTTAATAGGTTTAACCGGCTATCTGTCATGTCATTTCTAACATGTTTTAACTTTTAAATTGTATCTTTTCAAAGCCAAATCATGATACGAACAATGTATGGATTTCAATAAACTGTATTTATCAAAAGCAATTAAAGAAAAAAAGTAAAAGAAATGATTATTTATGTGAAAATCGTATATAAATAATATGTACAATTATTTACATTAAAACCAATTAAAAACAAATAAATTAGTTTCATATTATGATCATTCGTCATTCATTATATTAAAACTTCTATCAAAGAAATGATCATTTCAGAATAGAAAATTTATTTCATCTTGGATCAGATGCTCATCATTTATCAATAAGAGAAGAATGCAATAGCAAGATTGATTCGGAAATTATTCTTTACTAATCAAATCGCACACTGCATTCAATGAAAGACTTTAAAGTTTTTTGACAGTGTTAAAGGTTTATACGAATATAAAAAAGTCCAAGTACATCACATTCTTTTGTCAGTATCAATGTTCTAGGAGAATCTATTCATTATAAATTCCGAACACAGAAGCTGTGCAAAATAGCGACGGAGTTTCCAGTGTATATGTTGCGAAGTCGTCCAACTTTTTGTCCCAGGCACATCGGCTAGCAACGATAGTGCTTTGATCCCTTCTTTCACCTATGTGAACAACAGCTACTATCTTATAACGGTCGTATTTCAGTTTCTTGACCCCGTCTTTGATTTCATCAGTAAGAAGTTTACACATATTCGAACAAAATTTAGGATGGTACTTGAACCCTTTCATTCTCTGATCTATAATTGACTTTAGCACACCTTCCGCCTCTTCTGAATTAAATTTATGTTTCGGTTCCATCCGGTAGGTTGGTTCGCGCTGAACATGAATTGAGTTGGAATAACGTGAAGATCCATAAATGCTGCCTGAGCGATGGTACTTGTTTCTGAGATTTCTTGTGAAACGTTTAGCTGCCAGAAGACCAAGAAGGCTCGGCCCTCGTCCGGTTTGACCAAGAACAGGTTTTGTGGTTTGCGCATGTTGCAGCGGTGGTAAAGGAGTTGGGTTTTTGGACTCTCTTGGTGACGTCACAGTAATTTGCTTGCTGCTGGTTGTAGCACTGTCCTGACTAATTGAAGCTTCGCGAAGTCTCTTTAACATTTTGAAAATTTATATTTTATCAGATTTAAAAAATATCCAATATTTGTATTTTACAAGTAAAATCCTTAAATATGTGCGCCAAAACTCCACAGCTAAATTGAAAAATATTCCGGTATTTCACATAGATTTTATTAACAAGTTTGACGTTTGTATTATTTACAGAGTCATATTCGAGATGCTCCGAATGTAACAACGCAGAGAAAAGCGGCTTTATACGCTGGTATTTTCATAAAAATAATCGATCAAAATCAAAGGCAGATGCCGCGTTGATCTATCTTGAAGAATAAATAACAATTGACTGCGATAAACCACGTTGTGTATTATTATAGATATGTCACTTCCATTTAGGTCCACGTCTAAATCGTCCTGTTTACAAACGTAAACTATGGTAAGAGAGAAAATCAAAGTGGTCTTGCCGATATTAAGTGTTCCGTCGATAAGAGGGCCAACAAAATCAGTGTCGCCTGCTAGGTGAAACTGATCGTATCGATTGGTATTTTCAGTGTCAAATTACTATTATGCAAACATATTAGTAAATTGTCTGTAAAACGGATGTAATGTGCAACAAACGAAAATGATTTTTTTTTATAATTCCTTTGAAATAAAATAAACGACTGATTATAACATTTCCCCCGACTTAGTAATTGTAAATATTGCACTTACAAACAAAAAGAATAATAAGTAGATGTTACATACTAAGTTAATATTGATATTAATTAAATCAATAATCTAGAAATCACCGTAAGTATCCAATGTTTGAACAAACAAGTTGGAAACAAATTTTAATACTATTTAAACTAAACTATTGGCCAGTTTCAATTTCCAGCTTAATTGACCAATAATAAGCTTAGTAAATATTAAATAGATGCGGACTTCTATAAAATAAACCACGATATTATTTATATTAAAAAGTAACACTAAAAATGGTCTTTAAGGCAGGAAAGACATGTATGTATGTATGGATGGATGGATGGATGTATGCGTTAGGGCTGAGAGTACTGACCCCTGACATGTCACCATTCATGTCTTTAAATGTTATTATCAACCTGCAGTAATTCACTGAATGATACTTAATATAATACACTCAGGTGTTGTACCTGTTATAGTCATTCATTGCAATGGTCCAGTATAAACATCATCAGAAAAAGACACCCAATTGACCTTTTTTACATTGGGAAATAATAGAAGCCTATCTTACAATGAATCCTATCTTACAATGAGTGTTCCCTCAAGTAAAAAATGAGATTTTGATCTATGTAATTAAGGATCGTGATCGTTAAAGCGTGCCATACCGGGGAGATATAACCATCTTTGCAAATATTTCACTATTCACTGATGTAAAGCTATGTAGTTATAGTCGTAAAACTGCGAAATTGAATGAAAAATTTACACATATTAAAGTTACAGTGTGGGAAATATACCATAAACAGGTAAAGGATTGTATTTTTTAAAATTTGCATAAGTGTAAGAACTGAACATTTTTCGTAGGTGAATTACGTCGCAATGTAAACACTAGTGCTATAATGACATAGGTAAATATTTACAAAAATAGTTTTTGAAAGTACATAAATCAAGTCATGTTATTTTGATGAATACTCAATAAGTTTCTATTATAAAATCTTTTCCTATATGTATATATACATATTGTTGTTAGCGCGCGCGTTCCGTCTTATGTATGCATGTGCACCTGCGTTCGTGCGTATCGTTCTTTTCAATGGTGCATTGTAATATGTAAATAAGTAATTTAAGTGTTATCAATACGAACCCCATAAATATCTTGAAAATCAGCTTTTTGTGCTTCTAAAAATCTGTGATTATTTTCAGTTATTGCTTAAGCAACTTGGACCAGTTACTGCACAGTAGATATAGATTTAACATATCTAAATTTGTTAGTTTAATGTATGAAACCTGGGAAATAAAATCGTAGTTCAAGATAAAACTTGGGATTTTGAAAAAAAAACTATTCCTATGGACATGTACACGGGCGTGTTCAGTAATTTTTCTTTAAACGCCTCGCCGATTGCCAAAGCTGAACAGTTGTAATAATTTATTGCTTTACGGGTGCGTAATTTTTTACAATCTGCCAAGGGAGGTAATCACTAGGAGTTTGACATCTCCAATTGTTGAGCATTTCTCATATTTAGGTGTCCAATTTTCATTTAATGATAAATTCAGCAGAACTAAAACATTCCTTATTGATCAAGCCCGTAAAGCCATGTTTTCTGTAATTAGGAAATCTAGGATACTTAATTTACCAATAGATATGCAATTACACTTGTTTGATACAATGATAGCACCCATATGGGTGTGAAGTTTGGGGTGTTGAAGATGTGAGTGTTGTGGATAAATTTCAATTAAAATACCTAAAGATAATTCTACAGTTGAAACAGAGTACTCCAAATGCTATGATTTATGGGGAGTTGGGTATTACCCCTCTTTCAACACAAATTAAAAGTAGAGTTCTCAATTACTGGGGTAAAATAGTTAATTCTAAACATGATAAGATAGTCAGCATTCTATATAGAACAACTCATAATTTATATACTCTGAATAATATTAAATCAGATTGGGTCTGTTTTGTTCGAAATAATTTAGTTTAAATGATCTTGGATTGTCGCATTTTTGGATAAATCAAAATGTGGAATCTCCTGCTTCATTCAAGAATACTGTCAACTTCAGATTGCGTGATCATTTTATGCAAAATTGGAGAAGTACAATTAATAATTCCAGTAAATGTCTAAATTACAGGATTTATAAACAGGATTTTTGTTTTGAGCCATATACCTCAGCAAGTTACCTATGAATTTAGCTTTAATTCTCTTTAAATTTAGAAGTATGAATCACAAACTTCCTATTGAAAAAGGAAGGTTTGATGATATTCCAAGAGAACTTCATACAATGGTCAAGCACAATGAGAGGAAGTACAGTGCTCAAGAAGTGTAACTCTTTCTGGACTTATTACAGAGTCATTCAATAAAACTTCATCGATAGTCAACCACATTTAAAGGAAATGCAACATACAAGAACCACAACTATCTTTAATTGCCCACAACCATAGCTCTATTTCAATTCTTTTGCAAGGTATTCTGTTTCTAGTAACTTCCTCATTTCCGAAGCAGTAAATCAAATTTAGTGATAGTTCTAGTTTTTTTAAAGAGGTATTTTCTTACATAAATTTAAAAAGATGTATGGGAGGGTAATCACAGATGTTTGGCATGGGCCATGACTTACACTATTCCTGGGAACATTTTGCCCTCTACAACACAAAACCCTTAAACATCATCTAAACATCATAAGTATTGAGAAAAATCAATTATGCTGGTATCCCCTTCAGACTTTTCATTTGACATATTCTGTATCCCCCAAACTCCATACACACCCAGGCAGGTACCCAGGCCCTGAAAAGTAGTTAAATACACACCTGCACATGTACATGTTACATGATGAAACATCTTTCTGAACTCTTTCCATTGGACAAGCATCGACCCCCCCCCCCCATGGAAAACATTTTTTGATAAAAAAAGACCTCCTACACACAAGCCTTTTAAATATGCCTTTTTGACAGATATCCCTCATACACATAAGACATTATTTGTGATACTCAGCAGCTATGCCTGGAGCTCAGAATTTTGGCATGTAGAATTTCATAGTGGACCCCAGGCTCTACAAAAGTCATAGTCATGTCCCTTGGGTCCATAATGACCCCATCCTGGGAGTCACTTGTTTCATAGACTGTGTTGTAAAAGACAACAATTACTTATTAAGTAACAACAATGGCCATAGCTAAGATTCTTGGCATTTAGCATCACTTTCTTGTGATCTTCTACAACATTTATAAAAATCAAATATTTAGGGTCTAATTGGTCCTGCCCCTCGATCTTTTACTTTATATAGACTTATGCAAAAAAAATACAATTGAAAGCCTTCTTTTATGAAACTGCAAAGCCTATTAAAGCTTATTTGGCATGTAACAATTTTGCGGTTTAATGAAATATGCCTGTGGAGAGCCCTCATGGCAACATAATTTCTATACACTTACTTAGAAATCTTATCAACAATAATATTTTCCTTGGTTGAAACTGTAATGAATAGAGCATAAATATTTGGCATGTAGCATCAAAATTGGCCTACTGGTCATGTAGTTTATGAAGGCTTATATTTATACAATAACACATTTTAGTCTGATCTTGTATAAATGACATATATAATGTCCCTGGAGTGAAAAAAGCTTCATCCTGTGGAGTCATTTAGTTATACCCCCTTCAAAGAAGTGGGGATATATTACTTTGCATTATCTGTCTGTTGGTCCTTAGACCAAATGGTTTCTGATCAATTACTAAAGAACGCTTAGGCCTAGGAACTTCAAACTTGGTATGAGGATAGTTCATGCCCTTAGTAAATGACCCTTATTGATTTTGGGGTCAGTGGGTCAAAGGTTAAAGTCACATTGACCTTGTATGTCAAAACAGTTTCCTAGCAATAACTGGGCAACCCATGGACCTTCAAACTTCACAGATGCATGTCTTTTGGTCAGGATATGACCTCAAAGGATTTTTGGGGTCAAGGGGTCAGAGGTCAAGATTAAATTGACCTTATAGGTAAAAATGCTCTCTGATCAATATCTCGACAACTTCACAGGTGCATTGGTCTTGGCAAGTAGATAGGCTAACCCCTATTGATTTAAGGGTCAAAGGTCAAAGTCACATTGACGTTGTACGTAAAAGATGGGTTTCCGACCAATAACTCAACAACTCAAGTTGATATTTTTTATTAAACTAAAAATGCTTTTGGTATAAAGATTTCAAAGTGTAATGTAATATGACAGTTTGGCTGTAATTAAGGAGGCCTACATGATTCATAAAACTTATGCATATGTTATTTGGTAAGATTTGTGATAAATTTGTCATAAAATTGCTGCACACAACCTTTACAGTCAAATTACCTAGTGACTAGTTTGTGTCACTAGGGCTGGGGTGAGTATCCGAGTACTAGGATCAAACCACGAATCAAAATGAAAAATCGAATACAAATATTCGTCAGCCTAGAGATCGTGGATCGCGATCTTATTTGTTTATATACATTCACTTTTTCTCAAACTCGAAAATTCTAGAAAAATACACTTTGAATATGAATTATGCGACTTTAACCTTAATACAATTTACCGATTAAAGACAGAAAGTAAACAAACAAGTACCATGATGCTGAGCTTAGGATGTAACTAGTTTCGAAAAAGGAATCACTCTATCTTTGTTTAGCACTATGTTTTTCATGAAAATAAATAAATTATATTTTAGTCGCTATAACACGTGACATGTATCGAGGATGGTTTTATTTTTAATAATCCAAAATGTGCAAAAACTGAAGTTAATAATTACGTTAGTATGACATTAACATTCTGTCTGCAACAATGGCTGAAAAGGAGTCGCCCTGAATTCCACCAGTAAAATTTACTTCCAATGTTTGGAAATACA